GAAAGCATCAAAAACCTGTGGTAAAACCGCAAGCCAAGAAGGCAGAAGCCCAGGGAAGATGGAGTGCCTCAAGCTCCCTCCCCCCTGAGCGGGAAGAGTGAGCTGTGAACAAGGGCAGCAGGAACTCAGAGTGGGCAGAGACTGGAGTGACGGTGCCCAACACCCCTCACGTACAAGAGCAGCCCCCAGAGAGTGAGAGCAACCAGGGCACAGTCCATCTCCTGGGTCTAGTGCTCATCTGAGCTAGTTTGATATTATTGCCCTCCACAAGTAGACCAAACTATGGTCTCCACTCGTATCAAAACCACCACCAGAAAGAACATGGTGACCCAGATGGAGCTGCCACGCAAACATGCAGCGGTCCAGGTCCCAGACTGCACGGAGTGCCTGAGCCTGTCACAGGGCAGCAGTGACAACACCCGTGTGCGCTGTGATCAGCTGGATGACCTGCTCAGCCTGGTGGCGGAACTCGAAAAGGTTGAAAGATTAATAAGTATTAGGGAGTGCAAAAGGAAAATTGACTGGTGGAGTAACACCTTAGCACCTCTGAAGCAACAGTTTATGGCTTTTGGAAGAAGGGCTAGCCACTCATAGTGATTACAAAGAGGCTGTGAGGCTGTGCAGGGCAGAAATCAGGAGGGCTAAAGCCCAGCTGGAAATTAATCTATCTTCAGCAATCAAAGATAACAAGAAATGTTTCTATAAGTATGTCAACAGCAAATGAAAGACCAGGGAGAGCCTCCATCCCCTGCTAGACGCAGGAGGAATCATGGTAACAAGTGATGAGGAAAGGCTGAGGTGTTTAATGCCTTCTTTGCCTCAGTCTTTAATAACAAGACCAGTTGTACTGAGGGAATCCAGCCTCCTCAGTCAGGAGACAGAGACTGGGAGAACAACCCCCCCACATTTCAGGAGGAGACAGTCAGTGACCTGCTGCATCACACAGACACACACAAGTCCATGGGACCAGATGGGATACGCCCGAGGGTGCTGAAGGAGCTGGCTGGGTGCGCGCCAGGCCACTTTCCATCATTTACCATCAGTCCTGGCTGACCGGGGAGGTCCCGACAGATTGGGAATTGGCCAATGTGACGCCCACTGTGTCCACCCAAGAAGGGTTTGAAGGATGATCTGGGAAATTACAGGCCTGTCAGCTTGACTTTGGTGCCCGGGAAGCTGACGGAGCAGCTCATCCTGAGTGCCATCACACAACACATGTGGGACAGCGAGATGCTCAGGCCCAGTCAGCATGGGTTTATGAAAGGCAGGTCCTGCTTGACAAACCTGATCTCCTTCTACAACAGGGTGACCTGCTTATTGGATGAGGGAAAGGCTGTGGACATTGTCTACCTTGATTTTAGCAAGGCCTTTGACACCGTTTCCCACAGCATTCTCCTGGAGAAACTGGCTGCTCACGGCTTGGAGGGGCACAGCTTCACTGGGTAAAAAACTGTCTGATGGACGGGCCCAAGGAGTTGTGGTGAACGGAGTTAAATCCAGCTGGCGGCCGGTCACGAGTGGTGTCCCCCAGGGCTGGGTGTTGGGGCCACTCCTGTTTAACATCTTTATTGATGATCTAGA